CAGTTTGTGAGGCCTCTGAGGTAAGCTGTTGGAGCGATCCACCAGGCGTTGGGAGACCAGGGCAGCAGACAAGGAAAACAAAAAGGGGTCTGAGACATGGCATCCAGGAGTCCCCACCATGTGCAATATGTGGGTTCCATGTTCATTAAGGACTGAGGGCAAAGGTGAGGGTGGCTAAATGTGCATGGGCAGTGCCCAAGACATGTGTCTCCCTCAGTCCAACCCACAGCCCCGAGTCCGCTTCCCTCCACAGTGTGGGAGGCCCAGGAACATCCAGTACAACTCAGGATCAGGACTTGGAAGCAAGGAGTCTGCCCTTCCTCGTTTCCAGCTCTCCAGAATGGAAACCTGGTGTCATGAAGGGCCAGACATGGTTCTGAGCTCAGCCCAGAGGGCCCTGCCCTACTGACAGGCTCACTTCCTGCAGGGAGGGTGCTCTGGGGGAGGGCTCCCTCCAGGCTCTCCTGCAAGCCCTCTTTCCCCACCCAATATGTTCTGACCACCCCTGCATGCCACGTTCTCCACAGATGGAACCTCTCCTGATACCTTAGGTGCCATGGCCTTCCTGGCTCTTCTGCTTACTCCTCCAGGTTGGGGGCCTCCTGAGGCAGACACCAGGTCTGCACATGCTGTGTCCCCAGGGTGTGGCCTGAACACCATGATTTTGCTCTCTGAAAAATCTTGACAAATAATATTCCCTCTCCTAATTTCATTAGCTTTATATCCAGAAACAAAGGTTTACAGTCACAAGGCAGAATCCGGCCCATCCTTGGGGCTGCTATTCACAAAACCATTGCTGCAGATGTAGCATGTTCTCTAGAACAGAGAAATGCCTTGTTCTAACAAAAATGGTAAGACAATGTTTGAAAACAGGCAAGAAAGTGACTTGAGAAAGAAACCCATTTTCTAACAGGCATGAAGATTCTGAATGGGGTAAGAGTGGCCCTGGCCATACAGAGGAAGCTGGCCAACAGAACTCAAAAAGCTGGATTAGACAGGGCATATGCCCTCTAACTGGTCATCAGTTACCACTACTCCTTACTGTCTTACACGCTTACCTGCTTTTTATTCCTGCGATTACATGGATAACCTCTGAAGGCATGAGTCCACAACACTGCAATATGATACAATGCTTCAAAAGGAATCCTTTCCATCTTTGGGAAGCAAATGTTTGCAAGGTTCTTTGTTAAGCTGGATAGAAATCTTCATAGCTTCTCCCTACCCATCTTATTTCTGGGTACCACAGGTCCTATAGCACAGATACAGCCTTGCCCTAAAGCACACTGTCTGACCTATTTGAATTCTACCTTCAGAGTCTCTCTGAGCCCTTCTCTTTTCCACATTAATTTAGCGTGAAGTCTTCCTTCAACTGTTTCATAAGATATTGAGTCCCCTCACTGTAATCAGAATGCACCTTATTTCTTTAAAGAGGAACATCCATAAGGCAAAAAATACTGTAGGCCTGGCCTAATCCTTTGCAATTCAGGATGCAATCCAAAACCCAGCTGCACCAGCATCCTTGGGAACTCATTACAAATGCAGAACCTCAAGCCCACTGCAGACCTACCCAATCAAGATTCCCAGGTGACTCACACACACAACCTACTCAGAGGAGAACCGTCTTCACCTTATGTAGCATAAGTCTACATGAGCTTTTGAAGGTTATTATGATATCCTATTGGCCTTGTTTCCTCCTATCAGACATACCTGCTTTTTTCTACCCTTACTGCTAAGCTGCATCTTATATATTATTGTTTTTTTAAATATTTTTTAGTTTTAGGTGGATACAATATTTTATTTTTACGTGGTGCTGAAGATGGAACCCAGTGCCTCCCACGTGCTAGATGAGCACTCTACCACTTGAGCCACAACCTCAGCCCCATTATTGTTTTATTGAAGCATTTAACAGTCTTATTACATTTTGGTGAGTTCTGCATGTGGCTACAACTAAGTTCTGAAGGGGCAAAACACATCACGTTAATCTGTCTTTGATGTCAAGCAAAGACCCCAGTATGTCATAGTTGCTTGTGCAAGAAGTAATCAAAAACTAGAGACACTGAAATGACAGAGAAAATCAACATATCCAGGTATGGCATGATCCAGGGCTCAAGCACAGTGGCAGGGATTTGGACTCTTGACCCCCATCCTTTGGCATCAGCCCTGTCCCTGGGGAGGCTCTCTCTCTGCAGCCTCACACTGGCTGCCAACACTGCTCAGAGCTACATGTTTTTTTATTCTAGTCCAGTGGGTATAGTGTTCTGGAAACTTCTGTGAGAAAAGCTTTTTCCTTTTCTGTTTCAGAAACCTCAGCAAATTTCTCCTCCGGTTTCATTAGCTCTGATGGACTGATCAGCTCAACTCTGGGCCAACCACTGAGGTGAGGGGAGAATATCACCTAATATGCTGAAACCAGTAAGGATCCACTCTCAGAGCAACGAGTGGCCAAAAACGGAGAAGGAGGGCTCCACCAACAATTCGGGAAACTGATGTTGGGAGGAGTCGTGACATGGGCACCAGGAGGCAGCGGATGTCTGCCCTGATGTTTAACAGCTCTGCCTCTCAGGTTCCTTTCAATCTCACAAGTGCACAGGACACCCAGCATCTCAGCCACCACCAGTGTGGGTTATGGCCCCAAACTTCTCTGTTTTCAAAAGGTACACAATTATTATGCTCCTCTGCTTGTTTCAGTAATCAACTTTAAGGGCCTGGCCTACCTCCTCCTGGAATAATGAAGCAGTCACAGGAGCTCTTGGGCCACTCCAAAAACCACTGCAGAGCGGTCTGCCACACATAAGAGGGTGAACTTGAAAGGCAGCATCCAAACTTGGGTGGAAGACTTTTATGTTTTCCAAAAGCTCAATAAGCAGCAGAAGTGACCACAATGTGTTTGAAACTTTATAGCATGTGTCTTCAGGAGACAAAGTGCCTCAAACTACAAAGTAATCATGGGGAGACTTGTAATTTTTTAAATTAAAAACTGTAGGCAGGAGAGGTAACAGTTGAAGTAAAACAAGCACGAATTCTACTTTTTGTTTCAAAAATAAAACCCGAGGTACGAGGAAAATTGTAATAATATGGAATTTAGAAATAGGCTTTCTCTGCCTGATGTTTCTTTATGTTCATTATGCCTGCTTGCCTTGGCCCAAAAGGCTCTCAGCGAATGGCCACACTTAGCTGAGAGACCCAAGGTGGGAACAGGGAAGGGGTTCAATTTCTGACTTCAGGGGGAAGATTATCACCAGCTCCTTTGGACACACACTGCAGGTCGAGGTGGTCAGCATGAGAGCACAGGTGGACCAATACAGGACCATGCCAATTCTCCAGAGAACCATAAACCAGACCTGTTCAATGCCCAGGAAGGATGTCAGTGGAGAAGGGCATCTGGAGAGCAGATAGAAACAGGTCCCAGTTTCTTCCATTATACCTCAGAAGCATTTGGGGCAGCTCCTGGCTTCACTACTGACTCAAGGAGGGCTCTTAACTGTCTCCTCACTTATCCTCAGCTTCAGTTCCCTTGGAGAGAGGGGCCAATGATTCCTTTCTCACTGATTGGTGTGAAAGTAAAACTATTCATGTGACAAGTGCTAGAAACGTCCAGAACTGGCCATTCTAGAAAAGTCCACAGAGGTCATTTTTCCCCTGCCCCCAACTCAGTCCCTTTCAGTGCTCAAACTTTATAAAATACACAACTGAAGAATTCTGTTCTCATCATAGACCAGCAGCATTGAGCTTGTACAATCGTATGTATGTATAAAGTCACACCTTATAGTACTGCAGTAGCTGTCCTGGGTCAGGAGAGGGAAGCTTTTCAAAGTCCTCAAGTTTTCACACAGATATAAACAACACAGAATGACCAAAAGGAACTTGGTCCCATTCCTTACTAAATATAAAACCTTGGACAAGTTAGTTCAGTAGTGGGCTTCAATCAACCACGGCATTTAAAATAGCAGCAACAACAATAAACATGTCTCCTACAAGACTGTAAAGCCTATGAAGGTTAACATCTCACTTATTCAACTTTATATTCTCCTAAAGGCCCTGGTTTGCATACGTTAGGAAGATGTTGAAAGGAAGGATAAACCGAACTGTGTGAAGGGCTTAAAAGGGTGCTAAATTATTATAAAAGATACAGAAATCCAAATAAGGAAGTTAGATCTAGTACCTAATGAGTTACAGTCAAAATGTTTAAGTCATCTTTAATTTAAAATTTTAAACTTAATTTCTTTTCTAGAGATAGATGATCTACCCAGTCTAGCACTGAGCTTCCATAATCTCTGGCAAGTTACTTATTTTGTCTCCTTAGCCACACAAGGATGTGAAAGAAGTTTTATAAAATCCCTCACAGCCTCCAAAATCAAATGTCCAAAACTTCTGCACACACTGTGGCAACTTTCCTATGAGAAAGGCACTCTGCTAGGCACTGCTAGGGACACGAGAGAGAAGAAACACAGAACTGCCCTTCAATTAGCTCATGAATTATGAAACAGTAAGAGAGGGAAACGAATAGCTCTGGTTTAATACAGCAAGGGTGGTGGGCGCCTTCTAAGAGGGAGTAACATGGAGCCGTCAGCTAGCTTTGTACAGGAGTGGCATCCATTCCTGTTTCACTGTAGCAAATACAGGGTACCCATCATGCCAGGCACCATATCTGAACACAAAACACATCTACGATCAAGACAAAGAAAACTGCCTTCATGGTGCCCAACGTCTTGTGGCAGGAGACAGACAATGGGGGCGCAACAAGAGGAAACACAAAGCAGACAGAAATGAGTTCACAGTGCTACTTGCACAAAGGTCTAAGAGTAGCCAAGAAAAGATAGAAAGGTAGGATGCGGCTGTCACAGAGCTTCTGAAACGCCAAGCTGTGGAATTCAGACTTTAATGAATTCAACAAAATAACCTAACAACTCCAAGTCACTGGCTATATACTGAACTTCAGAGGATCACTGACCATGTATTCAATTATAATTTTTCTATAGTAAAAAGAAAGATGGCTGAAAGAAATTTTTTAAAAATTTAATTTAAATAAATTTATTTGTGAGAGAAAAACATCTGAACATCAGGTACAGTCTGATCCACAATGATCTAACAGGATGTTATAACTCATTCTGGAGTACTCTAATACAGTTTGTAGGGAAAATTCCATGTGGAGCATCAGCTGAACACTTATTAAAATTCATAAAGCCATCTAAGCTGAGCATAATACAATACATAATGACCATGATACAGTAATAAAAATACAATATCAAATACTCACTACTTTGTGAGTTACAAACTATAGTATAAACAATTTAGGCCCCTTTTTAAAAAATGAAAAAATATTTCTATTACAGCCTTATTTCAAGCATTTTCAGTTAGGTACAGCTTTATATATTTTCACTTAAAACAGATAGCAAAAGAATGCCTTCTTAAGTAAGTGCAGGTAAAATATGTGACTTGTTTCAATATTTGCACTCTGAAGTATACTATGACATGTGAGTTCAGATAAGAGAATGAAACTGTGTTGTGGCAAAATTCTGGCTGATGATCAAGACTTGGACAGTTTTCACATTTGGTTAAAAAATTTCACATTGGGGAAAAAAAAAAAAAAAGAAGTGAGGATATAAGGAACCAACATCATTCCTTTCAATGAACCAGTCCAATTCCAGAGAGTGGGCTTTCCGTTTTGATTTCAAAGTGTGTGGTCCCGAAGTTGAACTCCTTCCAGTCAAGGCACTGCCTGTGGCTGAGAGGCAGCACTTAGTGATGAAGCGATGGGGAGGAGAGTGGGAACTGAACTACAGAGATGGTCACTGATAAACAAGCTCCTAGATGGCCCAGGGTGGCCAGCGCTCCAACCCAGGAGGAAAACACGCTCACTGCACTGCACACATGGAGCTCCGGGGTGGGTGAACAGTTCTTGACATGGAATCCTGGCTGTAGTTTACAATATCTGCCTTCACCACCCTCTGTCATAAGAGAAAAGAGTTATTATCGGTACATCAGAAAGAGCTCCTTATAGTATATTTTTATTTTCTGAACTTTGGTGAACCCCTGACGATAAACATCATAAAAGAAGCAGGAGTTGATACTGAAAGAATCAGTCAGAACTAATGAACAGCTGTGTTTTTGGTTTTCTTGTTTGTTTCTTTTTTTAAAAAAAGGCAATGGCAACTCAGTTATTGAGTCTTTTCTGGTTTTATAACATTAATTTGCAGTTTTCACAGACTCATAAAAATGTGACAGGTCAACATGAAAAATTAAACCCTGATCATAATTTAAAAGAATCAAGATAAATCATTTACACATACTTTAATTCATGATTTTTTACCATCTATTAAATATTTCCATAACCAGGATACTCAGCCATACCTCCTCTTAGAATGTTTACAGCGGTCTGTGTGTCAGTAAGGAGAGGTATGCTGAAGAGGACTGAGGAAGAAGGCAGAAATGTTCTGGGAAACCAAGTTTTTAAAACTTTTCTAGTTTTAAACACTTGCCTCCTAAATCCCTAACTTACTGCCAAATAACTCACTATTGGATTGTGAATAAAAATAAGGTATAATGAGGAATTTAAAAAATGACTTCATGTTCATGTTTTTAAAATAATTCAATCTAAAAGATACTTTTAATTCTTCTCTTCTTTCCACTAACCCACATGTAAAGAAACATCTGAAACAATGAATTTATCAAAATGCCCTAATATTTATCTCTAAGTAATAATTTAAATTAAAAAAATCCTTTACTGATTTCAACTCTTTAAGTCTGCACATAGAAGCAGACAAAAAAGGCCAATTCAAGGCAAATTTGAAAATACTCTTTCAATTCCCAGCTATGTCAGAAAAAACGGTAAGGAATGAATAAGAAAAGAGCTGCCTCCACTCTCCACTTCACTGCACGTGTAATAAACACAACCATGAAGACAAACATGTTTGAAAGTAACTGAAATGTTATTTTAATTTGTTCTCAATTTCTTATTTAATTTTTAAGTCTTTTGACAAAAAATCAATTTTTCAAAGTTCTAAAACAGGACTTATGCAATATTAATTTACAAAAATGTACAATAATCATCTGAATTTCCCTATTCAAAAGGAATAAAGAGCAAGATAGCATTCATTGGTCATCCCCTCCCACCTCCCCAAATTCCAATAATTTATCCATTAATACCTGACTATTGTACTGAACAGATTCTACTCTGAGAGGAGCTGGTATGTTGATTATCTTCTTCCGGATACTTCACTATTTCTGCCCTGACAATATGCTGTCAATTCCGTACAATATAAACAAGATGAAGGAGAAAGAATAAAAAAGGGAGAGAGAGAGAGAGAGAGAGAATGAAAAGTATGTTCAATGACTGAAAACAGAAGGGAACACCAAAGTAGAAAAAGAAGATTAACATATAAATTTAAACATGTCACAAAAGAAACAGCAGAAGCATGCAAACAAAAAACAATAGGAACAGAGACCCAATAAACAATACTCTTTATAATTCTATTTAAATATTGAAATAGATATGTACATTGAACTTCCCAGACATGTAAGTTCTATTTTTACCCCACAATCATATATAACATATATAACGCCCAGTATATCAGAGGACTGTGAAGACTCGTTGGGCTTTTCTACACTAAAGTACAGTAAGAGAATTAATTCCATTTCCTTTGACGCACATTGCTGAGGATCTTATGTGCCAGTTACTCTCTGCTGGGAACACAGGGATAAATTACACAACTATTTGTCATACAACCCAATGCTTTGCTAGTGGACCTATGCTGTAAGAACACAAAGGGAGGAGTAATTAAGCATCTTTCAATGCAGGGCACGGAATGAAGAAATTAGAGGCGATTTTTACATTTAATAATATTTGTTACTTGTCCAAAATTTCCTTTTGAAATTACTCCTCCACCCCTCCTAACCCTGACCTTTGTGCTTCCAAACTGATGTTCAAAAATAACAATTGTGAGACATGTAAAAAAATATATAGAATATGTATTGTCTTCACAAATAGCAGCCCATATTAAGATGCTATAGCTATTGTTTTCAAACATCTAAGAGTTTTGCTAAGTAAAAATAATAAACTACACTATAATGTTTTTTAACTGCTTCAGCCCTTAGGATGAAACAACATGCATGACAGAGATAACAAGCTCCCCATTATTTTTAGACTTGAAGCTATCCTTGCTTTTCTGTATGACCACAATATTTTATTTCAGAAAATCTTTCCTTTGCACTAGAATCTATAAATATATTAACACAAACAGAAACAAATCTTGATATGGGCTGCTGTTTGTGAAGACACGTATGAATAAAGATCAGGTGAACAATTGAGAGTAAATTAATAGGATGCTAAGGCATATGTATGTATGCATTACCTTAGGTCAGTTCTGCTTAAGTTCTCTAGCAAACAGTATTAACTTCTGGACAAGATTCATGATTTACTAGGTACTCAACTATGGACAGAAGCACTCCTAACCACCAGATGAGGGCTAAGGAGGGGTCCTCAGTGAACTGTTGAGCACCACCACCTGGCCTCCCTAAACCTGACTGCTGAATGTCAAACTATGAATTACAGTGAAGAAAAGGGAATTTCTAATCAGTAAGCAACTCATCAATCCAACAAATGTTGATTTATGCCTATCCTATAAACAACCAGCTTACTGAACTATGCTGCAGACATTTTGATCAGAGTACCTGACTAACATAAATGACTTTGGTTTTCCTCATCTATCTTATAAAATTAAAGAAGAATTAACAAGGCAAGGCAGCATCTTTCTTAGGGGTCTTGACTCGATGACAAAAATCTTTGTATGATGTTTCTACACTGTAAGCCATAATGAAGGCTACGGATTCAAAACTTAGCTTTCTATGATTAGAAAAATTAATTTCCGTGTCATAAACTTCATGGTAGGTGGTTTCACAGCAGCTGGCTTGTTTATAAGTCATTTATTGATTTTTTTCTCAGAGAAAATATGGTCTACAAAACACTGACCTTTATTTTTAGAGTCAGAAAGTACACTTTAATTATTCTCAGCTATTGGCCAATGGAGTAAAAATAATGAAGTGGCTTTAGGAGGAAAGGAGCCTTGTGGGTGATCAGGAGCTTACTTAACTCTGACCTTCAAAGAGCATTTTCAAGTGGATACTGGAAAGGGAAGTGGTAGAGATCCAGAGCCTACACAAGAAGCAGCCTAGGGCTGGGCTAAAAGGTGAAAAGATGATAGATGGATTCATAGGAAGGCATTAAAGATAAATTTAGTTAACTGTATAATTGTGCCTTAATCTAGATAGTATCTACCTCAGTAAAAGACATGGTTTGTCATACCCAGAATATGGAGCAATATTTATTACAATCGCTATTCTAGGTATTGTGAACATTTAGATAAATAGTGTGTGATCTCTGTTTTGGAGATGTGTAAGACTAGGAAAAAAAACAGATGTGTAAACTATTAAAGAGTAATCTGGTTGATATACAAAGTATAGCAAGATTACAGATTATCATATGCAGCATGGACACAGCATGTTAATAGCATAGTACTTTGCACAGAATATAAACTAAAATAAAAGTTACTATTGTTCTTCTGTGTAATGGGCCATTATATGCTACCAGTAACATTCATAACTTTGGGTAAGTTATTTCATCTCTTTAGTCTTCACAAACAACTAATTTATAAAACACAAAGTTTATCCATGTGGTGTCTAAAATCCCAGATAGTCTTGAAATTTTATTTAAAAATAAATTTAAAAGGTGAATAGGAAAAAGAAAAATAGGATATGATGGGGAAATCCATTAAGCAAAGTTCAACACAGGGGTATGTACAAAATGAGTAACTGTGTTCTTTAAGGAAGACAAGTGGTACTTAGAAAAGGGATTTCTGGTACAGTCCTCAAAAACACTGGAGAAAATGATAAAAAGATTAACATTTGGATAAGAAGGATCGAAGTTCTCCCAGGGCTACTTAAAGAAGGTTGATATTCAGGTAAGTGAAAAAGCAGGAAAGTCTTAGGACCAGGCCTTCAATGGGCATTAGTGTTACACAGCTACTCGCTAAGATGTTAATGAAGACTCAACTGAAATCTAGATGCTTATCACATGCTAGGTCCTATGTAGACACTGTCATATACAGTATGAAAATGATCTGAGGAGACATCAATGTACCAGACATTACAGAAATTTTTAAGAAACTAATGCATACCTAATTAAACAAAGTCTTAGTTTATTAACTGACAAGAAAAATGCCAAGGCTAACAATGTATTTACAACCCTTAACAAAAGCATATATGGCAAAACTTCTATGCAATTAAGATTTAAAAAAAAAAGATTGTGCATTCATCACAGGTTATCCAGTGAATTATTAAAAAGCTAAACACTGGGTTTTCTGGAGAACAGCAGTTAGAAATTTATTTTTCCCCTGAAGCTCTATTTTTCAAAGAGAAACATAGGAACAATCTGAGAAACCAGAACACCTGTTAACAACAATCCCAATTTTCACACTATCTTAGAGGGAAATATTTGTGGGAGGAGAAATATTGATAAATAATGCAAATAAAATTATTAACTAAGTTAGGGATTGTGAGAAATGCATCTTTAATGTATCTAATTGTTTAAATGTTTTCCTGCTCCATTTATCCTGAAGCTCCTTGAAGATAGGCACTTTACCTTATTCATCTCTGTTCACAGATTTTAGTATGCTCCCTGGCAATGAACAGACTCTCAAAATGTTTGCTGCATTAATAAATCGCATTCATTTTCCTTTCTTCCTTTCCCTGTTTTGTTACAAAACTTATAAAATGTGTTGATAACCTGACTTTATGATTCCCACACAGAAGCAACCTGGGTTAGAACTAAAATATCAAAATCCCTTTAAATAACCAGTGAATGAAACTAATATGGAAACCTCTTTATAAATGTTTATGTCAGAAATTAAATTATTACTACAGCATCAATTCCCATGTTACATTAATTTTCTGACATTAATTTTCTCCTCAAAATAATATAAAATACTCTCAAACATTACCTTGAATCCCCTCAAGAAATGTTTCAAATATGGAAAACCTGCAGAATTTTCTCCCCTCCCCCCCCCCCCCCCCCCCCCCCACAAACAGGACTTCTTTCTTTCTTTCTTTCTTTCTTTCTCTTGTTTTCTCTCTCTTTTGAGATGGGGGTTCACTCTGTTGCCCAGACTGGTCTTGAACTGTGAAATCCTGGGCTCAAGCAATCCTGAGTGCTAGGACTATAGACACATGTCACCAGACCCAGCTAAAACTTCTTATTCCTTTAAGCGAACTTTCAAAATTATTTCACTGAAAAATATCAATTGTGAAATTAATAATTGAATTGGCACCTCTACCAATTCATCAGGTTTAGGGAGGGATAATGAGTCTTCCCACTATACATAAAGAATTCTGAGACATGATAGATAGAGGAGGGCTCAGTATCTTACATTTATCTTCACATTCATGAATTAAAATCAAGCTCCACCAATAAACTGAAGACAGAATGAAATCTCAAAGCACAGTAAACAAGGGGCAGTGTGCAGGGAGGGAGGGTAGAGGGTTGTTTAGTTAACATGTCCAACATCTCTTTAGTTTAAATATGCCTAGGTGTTAAACACTCCTCTAAATCAAGAGTAACTGGATGCCCTTGTGACAAGAGGGAACTAAGAAAAGTAAAGTTTTCTGGAAATTTTGCCTTTTAAAATTTTTCCAGTTCCTCCTCTTTGGGGGGGGGGGGGGGTCTTCCTGCAACCTGAACACCCACACAGCTCAGGCCAAATGCAAGAGTTCTTCCTTAGTGCAGCTCATACCCCTGTGAAAGATCAGCATGTTTTTCATCCTAAGTACAGCCACCAATCACTGGAGGACCTTGTCTCCACTCCTCTAGGCAAGCAATCTTAGAGTTATATTGGACTTCTGGTTCTCTCTCTTATCGAATCATTCCACACACCCTACAAATTCTTCTTGGCTCTGCTTTGACTCTTGTCTTTATCCCAAAATAGCAGTAACCCAGTCTCCTTACCTCAATCCCCTTCCTATCCAACCACACACAAAAATACCCCAATAAATTAATTCTATATCAAAATTGCTTTATTTCCCTACATAAAAATTATTTCCCTCTTGCTATAGATAACGTTCATCTATATGGCATTCACAAATTCCTATGATATTTTCTCAAACTCCCTTTATACTCCAATACAAATGGTCACTTATTTTAATCAAACTGCTCTTTTGTTTCCTAAATATGATCTAAGCTTCTCTACCCAGGTACATTGTTCAGGTCAGCTCATTTTCAGCCCTTTTCTTCCTCTGCATTCCAAACTGCTCTATACACCTTCCCCCAACATGGTAGAGTAGTGACAGCAGAGGAACTTGTGTCAGACAGACTGTGTTCAAATCACAGCCTCACCACTCCCTACCCATGGTTTAGTGATCATGTTACTTAGCTTATTCATAGAAACAGTGTCCTGGCCATAAAATAATGAAATGCCACTTGTCCCAGAGAGTTATTCTGAAGAATAAATGAGATAGTTTAGTATCTGGCATAAAATATACTAATTTTCTTTACTAGAGACAGAAACTACAATTTTAAACTCCTTTAACTCTTACATCCACCATGATATTGTGTATATAATACATGATCAATAAATCATTGACTGTTTGATAATTATCCACAGACTCCAATTAACCAGTAATAAACATCATTCAGAAAAAGAAGGGGAAAAGCAGAAAACCAAAGGATCTCTGAGGTCTACAGGGTCTGTGTGATCAAACAAATCATGTTGACTCTTCTTTCTTGTATTCTCCCAAACCAAAACCAAGAAACTATTTTTTATGTGCTTGGGACCTGTTTACACAGCATAAAATATCTTACCTTTGTATCTGGCCATGGAAAGTGCTAAAATAAACATCTTTAAATCATGAGAATTAAAAGTAGCAAATTTCCAAGTTCCAACTTTTAATCGAGTCCTAGACATAACCACCTCCTCCATGTAAAACTTTTCAATTGATAGTTGCTCTAATTATTTACACACACACACACACACACAGTAGCCACAAGAATGTGACACAGAAATAACTTTAAAAGGAAGAAAAATTTAGGGATGGGAAAAGATAATTATACCTTTTTAGCTGTACAGCAAAGTAAGAAAGGTGGAGAAAATTGAGGGGAAATGTTGTTAGTTTGTTGCTTCTAACCAAACCACTTATGAAATTTAACTGCAGACTGCTACTCTAATTTTTCATTCTATCAAACATGAGACTTAAGTGCAATCACAATGGCATTGTCAAGTTCTTGACTGCTGGTATTCATTTGTTTTAAGTCTAAGGCGACTATGGAGGAATAGTGAAAGAACACAGAAATTCTCAATAACCAATAACACTATTAAACTGACAAGATAATATCAAGAACTAATATTATAGTGGAGAGTGTTTTAAAGATGAACAGATTAGCCCTTGAAAGAACTTAAATGAAGAAATACAAAACAATATGGTCAGAATTTTAACCCATCAATTAGCCACTGATAAAATTTTCATTAATCTTTTTCCTTCCACCAAAAGGGACAAAATGAAAGTTTCAAGATCATGATAATTTGGTACAAAGTTAATATCCTTCATCTTCTGCAATTAACACTGATTCATACACATAATCTAAGGTTTTACAGGATATGTACATAGAATGCATGAATGAGATTCATAGACAAAAACTAATGATTTGTTAAAAATTCATTAATTTTTTTAAAATATACAGTTCAAGATAATCACCTGTGACTGTTCTATTTCTGCTTTGTTTAATTTTATCCCAAGGATTTCAGCAGCAACTTTTTGGAAGCACAGGAAGACCTACATAACAAAAATAGGTTCACATGATTTAAAATAGTCATACTTAAAGTTACCTTCAAATAAGCTAAATTTTCTAAAAATCGATAAACAGGAAGAATTGCAAAAATATGATGTAGCATGTGATTCCAAAAAAAACTTTATTGATCATGTGTAACAACTTATCATTTTTCAAATCATTAAACCATAGTTTGAAAGTCCATGAAATTCAATGAATTAGTCTAAATTTGTATTTATCCCAAAAGCATATGTTTGTAAATATTTAACATGACAAGTATAACACACCACATTAAAACACACACCTACTAGCATAACAAACTACCATAATTCCTAAAAGAAAATAAAAATAAATTAATCTATAACTTAATGCTCTGGTTTGTCACTGTCAGCTCTATTTTGGTCCACTGAGCTCACTCTAGTCTATCTTAAAAGGTTTTTCTTTTCAACTTGTTAATAATCTTTCTGGTTTTCCTATCAATTTCAACAAACTCTCTATGTCTCTTCAGTAAAACAGCTTGCTACTCTTTACTGTATTTTATCAGTTCAGAATAAAGGAACAATATACTCCATTACTATTATAGTTAAACAGAAATCTACAGAAGCTTTTCTATAAATAGTCTCTCATACATAGTCAGCTTACAGCAGGGCCACTATGATTCTCAGAACTTCCATCCTGACATTTATTGCACTATAACTTATCTTTACCTCAAAAGTGTCCTGCCATATGCCTAGCCCTCCAAATCTCATGATTACTCACTGAATATTTACTATAACTTTAATAACTGTAATTTCTAATAAAAAAGAGATACATACCTTTGAGAGGCTCATGCAATTTTACTCCAAAAAGCATGTTTTAGTTCACTGATGGCCAATGTTAAAGGAACAACAGAAAAGCTAATGTGGTATAACAGAGAGAAAAAGAGCGATCATAAGAGAAAATGAGCAAAGAGATGAAAGAGGTACAAATCATGTAGGATCTTGTGGGCTAAGGAAAAAATTGGCATTTACTTGGAACACAAATGAAAGCCATGGGAGAATAGCCTGACCAGACTTTTATTTTAGTAGGACCCGTCCAGTTGGTGTGTTGAGCATTCATTACAGAATCACAAGTGAACAACAAGAAAAATCAACAAGGAGATTAATGTAAGAGATTATGGAAACTAAACCAAAGTAGTAGCAGTGGAGTTGGTAAGAAACCAACTCCATCAGGATCTGAATTTATCATTAAAGTAGAACCAAAAGGAATTGGTGATGGATAGATGTGGGTTGTGAGAGAAAGGAGAGTCAAGTATGACCAAAATTTTCTAGGTCTGAGCAACTGGAAGGATAGGATATGCCATTTTTGAAGTGGGGAAGACTGAGATTTGAGAAGAGAATATCAAGAGGTCAATTCTGCATGTGTTTAAACTGTTAAACATCTCAGTGGTGATGTTAAGGGGGCAGGTGAGTCTAGGCAAAGCCATGAAACTAAATCAGGTGCTAATGGAGTAAGTTTAGAAAATGAGACACCCAAGAACTGAGCCCTACAGCACTCTAATATTTACAGGTTCCAGAAACAAGATGAGAGACTACTTAAGTAGAATGAAATCAGGAGGCATAGAATCCTGGAAGCTAGATGAAGAATCTATTTCAAAGAAGGGAGAGTAATCAACTATTTTATATGCAATTACTAAGTAATAAAGATGGAGATGAAGAAATGACCACTGGATTAAGCAAAAAAGAGGTTGCTGGTGAACTCTGGCCATAGCAGTTTGGGTAGGGGCAAAAGTTTGCTGGAACAAAAACTGAAAGGAGAGGAACTGGAGATAACTCTATCAAGGCCTTCTGCAAGAAAGTGAGGAAAGAAACAAAGTAATAGCAAGAGAGAGATGTGGAATTGAGAGTCTTCTTATTTTTAAGATAAGTCAAAATATCCTGTATGCTGACATTATAATCCAGTACATGGAAAAAAAGACAATGCTGGAAAAATAAGGTAGAGGGAAATGGGACTACTGAAGTACATAATGGAGGGTTACCTTCCTAGGAGCACAGATCCCACAGTGACCATGGGGAAGAGGTTTGGGAACAGATGTGCAGGAGAGAGCAGAGGGATTACTACAGATGTGGTAATGTGAGTATGTGAAAGTTGTCTTCTCTTTGTTTCAATTTCTTAGAAAATAGGAAACAGGGTCACCAGTAGAGAGAGTGAGAATGCTTTAGACATCTGAAGAGAGAAGAAAAGCTATGAAATAGTCATCTAGATATCTAGATAAGAGGGTGAGATGATAGAGTAGGAACACATGGCACAATCACCAAGCCCATTAAGGGCCCACTTGAGGTTCGTCATTGTAAATTTGAAGTGAAACGTCTGGCATGCCTCTGTATTTTTTTTGCGGTCACATGCCTTGCTGCAGTCACAGGAAAGTGGAGGCTTGGTTTAAAGCAGAATTAAGATTCGGCCAAGTGAGTATGACAATATGAATGAGGGGAAAAGGAACTGAGGGAATATGTACAGTAATGGTTTGGATTGGCCATGAGATTTTAGTTAGTAGGAGGCAAAAATGAGGACATAAAAAGAGACTAGGGGAAAAAAAATTTAACAAGTTGGTTAGGGATTTTAAAAAGGCATTAGAATCAATGTCTTAAAGGTCTTGGTTAGGTTAAAATAAACTATTCAGTGTTATGGTTTAGATATAAGGTATCCCCCAAAACTCATGTGTGAAACAACGCAGGAAAGTTTAGAGGTGAAATGATTGAGGGCCTTAACCTAATCAGTACATTAATCCAGTTGAATGGATTAACTGGGTGGTAACTATAGGCAGGCAGGGTATGGCTGAGGAGGTAGGTCCTTGGGGGTGTGCCTTTGGAGTATGTATTTTGACTCATGAATAGAAAAGTCTCTGCTTCCTGGCGTCTTGTCCTGAACTACTTTACTCTGCCATGATATTCTGCCTCATCTTGGACCCAGAGCAATGGAGCTGGCCCTCTATTAACTGAGACCTCTAAAACAGGAAGCACCAAAATAAACTTTTTCTCCTTTAATTGTTTCTTGTGAAGTCTTTTGGTCAAGCAGCAAAAAAAAAAAAAAGCCGACTAAAACACTGGGTGGGTTGGGAAATTTAGGCTGTGAGCTGGAAAGACAGAGTAGGGTGGTAGTCAGTGATTACTGATACTGAGAAGGACTGCAATAATTTTTAATGACACTCTCAGGAATGAGCGGCTTCAGTGTGGTGGAAGACAAATAAAGAAGTTGAAATCACTAACAGTTATGACAGAGATAGTATCAGAGAAAGTACTGTAATCTCAACAAAATCAAGGAGGGAAAGTAACCTGGAGCTAGAGACAACAAAAAGTATTAAACTGATTCCACAAGAACAAACCATTTCAAAGATGTATTTATAAAGAAAACATTGAGCATTTCAACATAAGTACATAAAATACCAAGCTAATCACAAGCTAAAATATTGGAAGTTAAAATCATCCTAAAATGACAAAAGACCCATAGGAAGATTTAAGGGCAGAAGCTCAGTGAATTCATAGACACGTTTATCAAGTACTAAAACCATGCTTTAAATGGCACATGGAGCATGTGCCCATGTTCATGTAATCCTAGAAGAAAGAGTTCCAAGAGACCAAATTAAGTGGCTCTAACCCCTGCAAAATGAAGTACCCTTTATACTATTTAATGTTTATCTTAGTCATAAAAACTATAAAGGGTATCATACTAGAAAAATAGCAAAGATTAAATCATAGAAAAATTTCAAACTTCTTTTGGATGAAATTGTCAAGAAAAAAAGCAGTCATGCACAAGGCCCTGGGTTTAATCCCCAGCACCAAAAGGAAAAAAAAAAAATAACAAATTAAACCCTGAATAGCAGTGAGCATTTACCAAAAAAAAAAAAAAAGTATAACAAATGATTGTTATTTTTAATATAAAAATGGTCATAGGAATTTTTTTAAAACCAAATAAGAGATCCAGAATAGCTAAAGCAATTCTAAGCAGGAAGAGTGAAACAGGTGGTATTGCTATACCAGATCTTAAACTATACTACAGAGCAATAGTAACAAAAACAGCATGGTACTGGCACCAAAACAGGCTGGTAGACCAATGGTACAGAATAGAGGACACAGAGACCAACCCACAAAATTACAACTACCTTATATTAGACAAAGGTGCTAAAAGCATGTACTGAAGAAAGGATAGCATCTTCAACAAATGGTGCTGGGGGAACTGGAAATCCATATGCAACAAAATGAAATTGAATTCCTTTCTCTCACCATGCACAAAAGTTAACTCAAAATGGATCAAGGATCTAGGAATCAAACCAGAGACTCTGCATCTAATAGAAGAAAAAGTTGACCCTCATCTCCATCACGTGGGGTCAGGCCCCAAATTCCTTAATAAGACACCTATAGCACAAGAGTTAAAATCAAGAATCAACAAATGGGACGAATTCAAACTAAAAAGTTTTTTTCTCAGCAAGAAAAATAATATGTGAGGTGAATAGAGAGAGAGCCTACATCCTGGGAACAAATTTTTACCCCTCACACATGAAATAGAGCTCTAATCTCTAGAGTATACAAAGAACTCAAAAAGTTAAACAACAAAAAACCAAATAACCCAATCAACAAATGGGCCAAGGACCTGAACAGACACTTCTCAAAAGAGGATATACAATCTATCAAAAAAAAATACACGAAAAAAATGCTCACCATCTCTAGCAATCAGAGAAATGCAAATTAAAACTACTCTAAGATACCATCTCAGTCCAGTAAGAATGGCAGCCATTATGAAGTCAAACAACAAGTGCTGGTGAGGATGCGGGAAAAAGGTACACTCATACATTGCTGATGGGACTGCAAATTGGTGCAGCCAATTTGGAAAGCAGTATGGAGATTCCTTGGAAAGCTGGGAATGGAACCATTTGACCCAGCTATTCCCCTTCTTGAACTATACCCAAAAGACCTAAAAACAGCATACTACAGGGACACAGCCACATCAATGTTTACAGCAGCACAATTCACAATAGCTAGACTGTGGAACCAACCTAGATGCCCTTCAATAGATGAATGGATAAAAAAAAATGTGGCATTTATACACAATGGGCATTTATACACAATGAATATTACACAGCACTAAAAAATAACAAGATCATGGCATTTGCAGGGAAATGGATGGCATTAGAGCAGATTATGCTAAGTGAAGTTAACCAATGCCTAAAAAACAAAAGCCGAATGTCTTCTCTGATATAAGGGGGGTGACTCAAAATGGGGTAGGGAGGAAGAGCATGAGAAGAAGATTATCACTAAATAGGGAAGAGAAGTGGGAGAGAAAAGGAGGGAGAAGGGGAATTGCACGGAAGATGGAAGGAGACCCTCATCATTATACAGAATGCATTTATGACGATGTGAGGGAAAAAAAAGAAGTGTGTCACATTAGATTGGATAGAGAGATGTGATGGGAGGCAAGGGGAGGGGACAGGGGGATAGGAAGGACAGCAGAATAAAACAGACATTATTATTGCTGTATGTATATATGTGACTATATGACCAATGTGATTCTGCAACCTGTACACTCAGAAAAATGAGAAATTATACCCCATCTGATTGAAATGTATGATATGTCAAGATCATTGCACTGTCATGTGTAACAAATTAAAACAAATTTTAAAAACTTAAAAAAAGAAAATTATAACTGATAATAACAGAAAATGAATAGTTAATGAAATTTTCAAAGATTCAATTTTAATTTCAAGGAAATTCAAATTTCAATGGTGAAGTATTTTTTTCTTTTCTTTTTCTTTCTTTTTTTTTGCCTGCCACATTGATAAAGACTTTAAAATAAATAAATTCTCAATGTTAAAAAGGGTGTAGTAGTATATAATCATACAATGCTGATGACTATAATTTAGCCTTTCTGGTAGTAATTTACAATATTTCAATCCCTTATCAAAGACTCCATCTGAAGAAAAAAATCAAAACATCAAAATCTTATGGACAAAATTTTACATTAGAACAGTATGTTCAAAACTTAGAAACATAACAACATAAACATGGTTACATGTATTCTAAAACATTTACCTAATGGATTATTAAATCTGATAATATTAAATGATATGGGGAAGTTTTCTTCAGATAAAAACAGTAAATAAAATTTTTAAAAGTATTTCTATATTGTATCTTAACACTTTAATATTTACTGTGGGTTGGAGAGGGGCCCTGGAACATCACTACTTAGTCACAGTCCTACCTCCACTAATTATCAGCTTGGTAACCTGGGCCTTCTTACATGCCCTCTCATAAGATTTACCTTTGAAATGGAGATAATCAAGGTAGTACAACACCTGTCACAGAGTAAGTACTCAATAAGTGAAAACTGCTAGCAGTATCAGTACTAGTGCTTATGAATACTAAAAAATGAAGACTAAAAGGAATCACATGAAATAAAGAACAGTCACCTCTGGATGTGGGGATTATGGGTGATTTATATTCTTTTAATTCTTTGAATTTTAATATTCCTTAAAATAATAAAATAATACTAAATTAGTTATAAAAATAAGATAATCAGAATAAGCATGTTATCTTTTTTTATGCCTTCAATAGGAATTAATTTGTTTCAAAATTAAGAAATAGAAGATTACTGCCCAGGAATACTAGTAAATAAAAGTGAAACATTACTTATAATACACAGTATTCATTATTTTACTTACAGAGTCTCCTGTCTTGGCTGAGACAAAGTGGCTACTAAAACCATTTTCCTGGCAAAACCGTAAATGTTTCTCAGGTTTTACTGTTCGCATATGCTCCAAATCAACTAGAAAAGTGTTAAAGAGAGGGAAAAAAAATGCACTATGAGAGTCAATCAAAACATTTTTTACATGTTTAAATTTGACTAACTTTGCAATATTATACCCTAGCATAGACACTAGCTGTATAATGCTAGGCAACTTATTTAATTTCTTTATGCTTCAGTTTCTACATTAATAAACTTGAAATGATAAATTTATTTCTTTAATATGGAGTTCTTTCAGAATTAGTTCATGTAGAGCCCACAATGACTGGCACATATGGGCTTTAAAAAAAAAAAGTTGAGCTGTCATATTATTATCTATATAAATTAAACACACTGGTGAGGCTCAAAAAAAATCTACTTGACATAATGCATTTCAACATTGTGATTAACTGAAAGTAAGACATATTTACCCAAACATATTTATTTTGAAACAGTTTACTTTAATAATTAGAACAGTTTGTAATCTTTATAAACTTTAATAACACAAATACACAGTATTCGGCCAAAAGAGATCAATATTACATTACATATTTATATTAATTTATTTACAGCCATGGTTTAATTTCACAAAGACACATTCAACTCTTTTTCCATTTCTAAAGTGTCCACTTGGGGAGTTATGGGTAAGGATATGTCCCTTTGAATAGCTGAAAGTACTTCAAAGTACAGCACAGACCTCATATCCAATACTGGTTTTTTATCCAGCACTCTATTTTTTCAAATGTGATTCTTTATTGAACAGTTTCTCCTTTTACAACGCTCAGACCCTATAAGGGTGTTGACTCAATGCTGTCAAATTATAAGGCAAATATATTCACAGGACTTAAGGACAACTAGGCTCTTTGAGTCAATAGAGGAAAAAAAAATTTAAACCTATTTCCTGAGGAAGGGACCCAACTGACTTGTAAAAACTTGTAAATTTGCAAATCTAGAAAGCCTACATAATAGTGGCAATTGATTGTCAACTAAAAAATGTTCTCATGCTTCATAAAAGGCTTTATTTAAAAATATATCGAAGGTTCTTAGTTTGTAGGCTCAAGGGATTTTTCTCCAGGAGATTTCTGATGTAGTGGGGGATTCCTGAGACCATTTATATTGCTTACCTTGGAAAATAGAGAGTTCTTTTTTTTCTTCTTCTTTTTTAGACAAGTTGCTATTCCTTAAACATCACTGAGACCTTATTTACAAAAACCAGGTCAAAAAATGTCCAGATGCCACAAGCACCAATTTGTGGAAGACTAAAATACTAAGCTATTAGCACTGATGTTTATACATCTAGTTCATCATAATATTGAAACTAAAATACTTTCCTAATTCAATAAGAATGAATTCTGTCTCTAGAAAAAAAAATCCCCAATGAAATTTATATCCAATTAAAAAAACATGAAGTTGTGTCATTGAAAGTCTATTTGAATTTGTGTTTTCTAATGAAACAGTCTGTCATTGTCTTTCTTCCTTTTAATCTTCACTCCTTCTTCCCATCTCGCCATCTACCATATAAATTATAACTGAGCAATTTACTGTCCAAACAAAAATTTTTCCCAATAAAGGTAACCATGAAGAGAGTACTATATCACTGGTCAATAAAAAAAAATATTTTATTTAATAAGCACTTATTGAGCACCTGTTATATTCCAGGTACCATGTTAGGCAGGCAATGGAAGGAAATTACTGTTTCTGCTGTGGGAGGGGTTTTGTAGCTATGTAAATCCAGCATAAAAATATACAGTCCAGTCTCTGAAAAAGCCACTACAAATACTGTGAGCATAAAAGGCCCTTAAAAATTATAAAAATTATTTTAATTAGCTGAGATTCTCAAAAATGAGATAACAGGTACAAAAGGCTCTCAAGAGCACTTCCCTACAAAGCTCTTCTCTGATGTGTTAGAATTTAGTAGGCAGCATTTAAGAGGGCTTGGTTACTAGACGATTTGGCTTGAATGCCACCCACAAAATCATATGTTAAACTTATTTACTAATGTGATAGTACTAAGAGGTAGGATCTTTAGAAGGTAATTAAGTCATGAGGGCTGTGACTTCGTTGGTAACATTAGAATTCTGATAAAAGGGCTTGAGGAAATGGGTTTGCCCTCTTCTACTCTTCTGCCATGTGAGGACACAGCATTCATCCCCTTTTGCTTTTCCACTTTCCACCAGAAAGGACAGAGCACTCAAGATGCCATCATGGAAACATAGATGGGGCTCTGATCAGACACTGGACATTCTAGCACCTTGATCTTGAACTTCTCAATCTCCAGAACAGTGAGAAATAAATTTCTTTTGTTTAGAAATTACGTGGTTTCATGTATTTTGCTATGGCAGTACTAACGGACAAAGACAATGGAACAATTCATTCTAAATGGAAAAAGATATAAAATATAATGATGGGGGCTGGGATTGTGGCTCAGTGGTAGAATAATCGCTTAGCATGTGTGAGGCCCTGGGTTCAATCCTCAGCATCATAAAAATAAATAAATAAAATAAAGGTATTGTGTCAACTACAACTAAAAAATTATATAAATAAATAAAATATAATGATGAAATTACAGTGAGACACTGGGAAAATCTTTTTCTTCTATTTTTAAGAGCATCCTTAAAATTATTATCCAGTAAACTATCACAATGACTTTGTGTGAAGGATTAAACTAAAACGAAGCATATTTTCAACATGATTCATTCTTCATTAAAAATAATTTTTTATCTAGAAGGAATGGCTATTTTAGCTGGAATGAAAATAAATTTTTGAAAAGAAAGCACCACAACTTTATGAATGCCATAAAAACATATGTGCTTCTAAAGACACTGTCCACTCAATGTAAAATGGTTAAGAGTACTGCTCATTTTTCCTCCCTGCCTTCCTCCAAGTCAAATTATGAAATTTCTATCCCAAGAATTCCCAACGACAATTTTTACCCATCACTATCATTTAGTCTTTTGTGAATTCTGTTAACAAAAGGCGTTGCTATTTTAGTATCACTACTTTTGAACAACAAGAATTTCCTGAAGAGTTAGGCAAGTCATAAAAGAAATGTTAACTGAGGACTCCACTTTGCTTAAACATGTAGACTTCCAAATATCATGGAAACCCCAGAAATTAACCTTATAAAATATAACCAAATGACCTTCAACAGTCAAGATTACTCAAAGGGAAAAGGACAGCCTCTTTAATAAATGTTGATAAATTTTTGGCATTCTTTCATGAAAAAGAATGGAAGTTGGACTCTTACATCATGTGCAAAAATTAACTCAAAATGGATTAAAGACCTAACCAAAAAAACCCCAAAACTAAAACTCTTTGACTAAACAGAAGAAAGGTTTCAGGATATTGGAGTTAGAGATGATTTTTCAGAAGAAAAAAATAGACAAAGTGACTGAATTAAACTTTAAAATGTTTTTTGCATCAAAGCACACAACAGAGTAAAAAAATCTAGAAAATGGGAGAAGATATTTGTAAATCATTATTGATAAGGGATTAATATCTAGAATATATTTTTAAAAGTCCTACAGCTCAACAACAAAAATCCAGTGACCCCATTTAAAAATAAGCAAAAGAATTATACAGACAGTTCTTCCAAAATGATCATCAGAAATGTAAGCTAAAACTACTAAGAGATATCACCTCAAACCAAGTAAAATAGCCACCCTGATATGCAAGGCTGGTTCAATATATGGAAATCAATAAATGTTATTCACCACATCAATAGACTTAAAGATGAGAACCATATGATCATCTCGATAGATGCAGAAAAAGCATTTGACAAAGTACAGCATCCCTTTATGTTCAAAACTCTAGAAAAACTAGGGATAACAGGAACATACCTCAATATTGTAAAAGCTATTTATGCTAAGCCTCAGGCTAGCATCATTCTGAACAGAGAAAAACTGAAGGCATTCCCTCTAAAATCTGGAACAAGACAGGGATGTCCTCTCTCACCACTTCTGTTCAACATAGTTCTAGAAACACTGGCCAGAGCAATTAGACAGACGAAAGAAATTAAAGGCATCAAAATAGGAAAAGAAGAACTTAAATTATCACTATTTGCAGATGACATGATCCTATACCTAGCAGACCCAAAAGGGTCTACAAAGAAACTATTATAGCTAATAAATGAATTCAGCAAAGTGGCAGGATATAAAATCAACACGCATAAATCAAAGGCATTCCTGTATATCAGCGACAAATCCTCTGAAATGGAAATGAGGACAACCACTCCATTCACAATATCCTCAAAAAAAATAAAATACTTGGGAATCAACCTAACAAAAGAGGTGAAAGACTTATACAATGAAAACTACAGAACCCTAAAGAGAGAAATAGAAGAAGATCTTAGAAGATGGAAAAATATTCCCTGTTCATGGACAGGCAGAACTAACATCATCAAAATGGCGATATTACCAAAAGTTCTCTATAGGTTTAATGCAATGCCAATCAAAATCCCAATGGCATTTCTTGTAGAAATAGATAAAGCAATCATGAAATTCATATGAAAAAAAAAAAAGACCAAGAATAGCAAAAAATAACTCTAAGCAGGAAGTGTGAATCAGGCGGTATAGCGATACCAGACTTCAAACAATACTACAGAGCAATAGTATAGCGATACCAGACTTCAAACAATACTACAATAGCAAAAACAAAAACAGCATGGTACTGGTACCAAAACAGGTGGGTGGACCAATGGTACAGAATAGAGGACACAGAAACCAATCCACAATATTACAACTATCTTATATTTGATAAAGGGGCTAAAAGCGTGCAATGGAGGAAGGATAGCATCTTCAACAAATGGTGCTGGGAAAACTGGAAATCCATGTGCAACAAAATGAAACTGAATCCCTTTCTCTCGCCATGCACAAAAGTTAACTCAAAATGGATCAAGGAGCTTGATATCAAATCAGAGACACGGCGTCTGATAGAAGAAAAAGTTGGCTATGATCTACATACTGGGGGGTCGGGATCCAAATTCCTCAATAGGACACCCATAGCACAAGAATTAATAACTAGAATCAACAAATGGGACTTAC